TTAAAAGAATTACGAAATGTTAAGGGTATTTTAGGTAGTTTATATGTTTGAATAGTGAAATGGGTTAGTTTGGGGTTAGTTTGGAATTTTGGCTTTGAATTTGGGTCATTTAGTGGTATATCCCGAGAGAGAGAGAGAGAAGAAAAATTGGGAAACTGATTAGGGTTGAAAAATTGGGAAACTGATTAGGGTTTAGATGAATATTGTATAATTAATTTTAAAATAAAATATCTGATTTTTAAAAAATAAAACTTTTAATCTGATTTTTGAAATTGAATTTTTAAAATTCTGGTTTGGTATAATTTCCTCTAAATAAAATTTGTAAGCAGGTTTTGCGCTAGGGTGGATTTTTAATAATTTGGACTTATTTCGTTTTTTAAGTTTTAACAATAGCTGAGAATTTTGTTGAGCTTCACTTAAAAAAAAAATCACTTGTCAAACAAAGTTTGTGCCTTTTTCGCCTAGGTTTGCCAAGGCAGGGCCTTTTCTCTGAATATCGAGCCTAAGCAGGCTTTTTAAAACGCTGGTCGATATTGATAGTCGAAACAAATTTTTTGATCTTGATCTCAAAATAACTAAATTGGTATTAGTCTGAACACGACACTAATATATTGTTAGATTGAATAAGGATTTGGTAAGGTTTTCGTCTCTGTTTCTTGTTGAAGAATTTTCTTGAAAAGACATGAGCTAATTTTCTTTAAAACGTGCTTCTAACAAGACAATACTTTCAAAAACAGGTCCAAAAACAATTTCTTGATCTCAAGAGCAATTTTTGACTTTTCAAAATCACTATGAAACAAAACCTAAACGTTGTATCAAGAATCATTTTTGGGTGAAATATGTAGGAACATGTCTTAAGCCCCTGTTTGCTCCACATTAATATTTACATTCTCATCCTTCTACTTATTTTCAACCACACATTTTTCAATAAAATAATATTTTCCATCACATCAATAATTTTTTCTTTTTTTTCAACCACATATTCCTCATCCATCACATCAAGAAAATGCATTATTCTACCCAAAAATGTGCACCAAACAGGGGCTAAATTGGAAATTTGAAAGAAAAAGAAACTTTGCAGCCTCCACAGGAAGAAAATGCTAATCAATTTAGGTGAAAGTCAATAAGCACAGAGTTTAACCATTTATTTCTTTGGGTCCCAGAAAATCTCAATTATATTTTTCGAAGATTTCCTTGGTTACTCCAAGACCATTTACCCCATGATTTTATTACCTTAAAAAGAGTAATCCCTTATTATAGTTTTTATACTATTTTGGCAAGCCATTCACCTTGATCGAGAGCGAGCCAAAACACTTGTTCATTAGTTCTGTAACGTTTGAAATTGATAACTTTGACAATCACAATTCGTAAAATCGAGAGCTGACGTACTCCAACATAAAAAGCATAACTATTTAGAATTTGTTAATTTTAAGAATTTCATCGAACAAACTTGCAAAAAAAATTATAGTGCAATACTCATGTTTGGTGGCATTCTTAGGAGTCTACAAGCTCTCGGCATAAGTTCCACTACTCACCATGCATCAATGTCAAATCAATGTCCAGGTGCAAACGTGAACCCGCTACATTCTCTATCATAAGAAATAGTGATATGACACGAGAATGTACATATCTTTTCTACCCATTATTTTATTATCGTAAAAAGATTGATCCCCTCCTTTAATCTAATACTAACTTGTTTTTGCAATTTTGAGGAAAATATTCCAACAAGGTAGGTTCACAAACTATACACGGACACAATGGTATAATATAATAATATATTGCATCTTCCAGTAGAAACAATGATGAAAACCAAACAAAATAAACAAAAATAAATAAATTTTACAGTCAAACCAATTATATAACAATAAAGATTAATTTATGGTTGGTAGTATTTATTTTTGTGGGAAATGTATTATTCCACAGAGAAAGAGACATAAGAGTAGTTGTAGACTTAATAGTTGTTCTAAAACTTCCTCAGTACATAAAATATTAATTCCCAACCGTAACAATGCAGCACTGTATACTGAAGAGAAAAGAACTCCAATTTAATTCTCATTTTACATTTTTTTTTTTTTTTAATCCTTCTTTCTCAAAGCATTAATGAATGAATGGATGTTAAGTTACATGTACATCATGTGATCGCCCTGGCAGCACCCTAGACAGGCACTCCAGAACCCGCCACACTCAAAAGAACCAGGACCAGTCGGCCCTCCAATCATCAGACCGGAGGTGTGGATAACGAGACCACCAAACCCAGATAAACTTGTTTTCTGTTCAAGGAAGAAAGTGAAAGTTGAACTAAAAGCAGTTCATTGATATGTTACAAATTAGGCCATTAAAGTGTTCCTTAAATTTGGCAATTGTGGGATAGTTCTCCTTTCAACTAGGAATGCTTTGTAAAAACACCGGCTAGAAAACGTTATATAGATCAGAAGCTGTGTAATTCTTTCAAACAATGTACGTTCCTAATAACATACAACTAAGTGCAACAATCGGGTGTTCCCGTGTATTCTTGCATATAACTTGTAGTCCACTAACCTCTTTTTGGAGCATTTTTATGCCTCTTCCATGAGCGTTCTATTGATAAATTTTTGGTCGGTCCATAACCAATTGTCCATTTGTCTATCCCTTCTGTTCAATTTCTGATCGAGCACTTAGAGTACCTCGCCATATGTGTCTGTGTGTGTGTGAGAGAGAGAGAGTGGACGTTTCCCAGACCATCCAAGCTGAACTTGAACTAGTCATCATCGGGATCAGCTGAGAAGTCTGGCTCTTCAGGTTTCAGCAACTTCGGTAATTCAACATTCTTGAGTTTTTGCGCTTCTCGTCTTGTGTTGGCGGCAAACCTCGAAGCTAGTATTGTGACTCCCAAGTGTTGTTTCACCTGAGAATAATTCACTGCTGTGCTCTTTTTGTCATCCTCCTCTTGGCAATTTTCATCAGATAATTGCTCGTCGGGAGAATAAGAAAATGACTCTCTCATGCTTAGGCCTCTAGCCAACATTCTCTTCCTATGCCGGCGCCAGGCAGCCTGGACGAAACAAGTAGCCCATGTCCTCCAGTGGTGAGAATAATACCGAAATGTGTGTTGCAATTTCTTACTGTGAAGTCGTCTAAATTGATTTGCCACAAATTTAAGGTCTTCTGCTCTTAGTGCAAACGCTTCCACTTCAGTAAGGGCTTGGACTGTTCTTGTTGAAGAAGGCAAGTTGAGGGTAGACTTAGGGACCAATGCCCATGCAAGCAGTTCTTCCCCACAAAAATCACCAGGTCTCAATGTTATCGAATTGAAGAATCCCGTCCGGCCTCCATTTGTGGTTGAGCTGTCCAGTGTTCCCCTTATAATAAAGAGCATCTCTGTTATGGGATCACCTTCCCGAACAATATATGTTCCCTGAGTACTTAAGGATGACACTAGGCGCTCACATATGGCATCGAGAAGCTGATCATCCATTTGAGAGAAGAAGGGTACCTGGAATTAGGAAAAAGCTATTGTTAATCTAATATAACAAAGATCATGCATGATACGCAGTAAGAAGCTATTGATGCCGAAGGCTAAATTTAAATAAATAAATGTACCACCTCTCTCGCGGTTTAAGTTTTTAGATGTGATGGTTCAACATGATATCAAAGCAAACAAATATTTAATTCAAGTATATTAAGAATGAGTTAAGTCACTGAAGCCTTTCAGTTAAAGAAATGAACTTCTACCAACTATTGGAGATTTGAGTACAAAAAATCTTACACGCCGAACAAGGTCTAAACATAGGTGGCGTTGGATATCACGACGCAGATCTGAAGGTAAGGTTTGAAGGATAGATTCTTCGTCAACGCCTCTTGTTGTAAGCCATTTGTATTGTATGAAACGTCTGACACGTTGTTGCAGATCTTCGGGGAGTTGGCGATGCCTCATCCACTCCTCAGTGTCTCGACGTTTAAGCCTCCACTCCTCGAGCCTCACAGTGATAGATTGCATGTAGGTCTATAGATGATTTATGTACTATAGTTAAGATATCAAACTTGACAATGAAAACATTCAGAAAAATTATTAACTAAAAAGAAATCTCAATACAATAAATTGCAGTTTGCAGATAAACAGTTGAACAGTTTGCTCACAGGAATCACATTTTGGAAAATATGTGAGAAACTAAATGTCTTTCTTATTTTGGATATAACGCCTCAAAATACAAGGTTTAGAAAGAAATTGTAGTCAATTAGATAAGACGTATTCACTAAAAAAGCATTCAAACAGATTCATTGACAGAACATACGAAGATTGGCAATCATTCAAATTTCTAAAAAGTAAAATAGTATGCGAGGAACCAAAAGATTTTGAATGTAAATATACAAGGTAGTGCCTGAATTTTTAATATACCTGCATGTTTCCAATTAAATGAGCAAACAGAACAAGCCCCAGGATGGCAATGAGTATCGCAAACAGTGTTTCACCAATAAATGTGCTTGTCGTTAATGTCTGGCCATAAGAACTGAAATAAAAAAAGGCAAAAATGAGTCCAAATTCTTCAAAACATATAGTGTATATAACTTTAAATTTTAATCCCCGAGTGAAGTTCATTTGTTTATCCTTTGAAAACTTTGAAGGTAATGGCTCAATAATTGATAGAATTACCTATACAAAATTAAGTACCATAAAATGATGAAACAAATGAGGTTCCATATGATACAACATAAGTGAGGATAACCACTTAAATTAGATGAGCAGAAGTTCCAAAATTATACCTCAAGTTCTGTAAACCCCACCATAAACAGTAGAAGTACTTCTCGATAAATGCAGACGAGACAACTTGTTTTCCGATGGCATTTCCAAATATCCCATAATTAAAGTTTGATGTACCCTCTGGATTACAATAATTGAAAACAAGAGTGCTGTTTACCCACATATTTCTATCACTATGTCCCATAGTGCCACAATCCAAAAATTTAAGGGAGCATCCATTACTATTGGATTCATTCCGGCAAGCTGATTTCCAGCAAGTTGCAAGTCTCTCAATTGACAATAAGTACCAGGAAGCTCCCAATACCTAAAAAGAAGAAGCTAAAATAATTAAAATCCTGCATTTTGAGTGACAAATTAAGGAAGTCATGAAAAACAGACTGTTAAAAATTTGACATACATGGCTTGCTAACATATAGAGTACAAGATTGTACGCAGCCCCGGCCCAAGCCGTTTTTGTGACAACTCCTGTAGCTTTGATAATTTGAGAGCTCAATGGAAAAATCAGATATAATCTTGGGATATACTGGATCAGTACTATTAATACCAAGGCGTTGTTTGTTTGATCAGCATGGGAGCTTCTAATTGATGGTAATATCGACCATATGACAATCTGTAGAAAATAGAAATAAATACTAGATCCAAGATTCCAATTGAAAAATATCCAAATAAATAATATTTTTCTCGTTATCAAGCGAACTAAACACCATTAATTGCTATCACTTCATGAAGGATGTACTTATATCTAAGACTTCGTCATCTAGCATCAAGCATCATGTCAGAGTTCAATACAAGATAACAATTCAACCACACAAAGCCCAACGCCGGCAAAATATACAAAAGTTATATTTATCAGTATCTTCAAAAAGGGAAAAAATCACATAACAATTCTTGCAATTTTTTATGCTGATCATTCGAATTTCTTCACCAGCCCAGTTCCACTATGCACTGATTCAACGAAACACCTTAGGTAATTAACCCTAAATTTCGTTATAACTTCTAATGATTAAAGGGTGAAAAAGTAGATCTCCATGGTAAAACATAAAGATTTTTCAATGACTAGTAGTTACAGTAAGCAAAGTTGACTACCTGAGGAAGGGGAAGTACAGCAATTGCATCGACGAAGAATTCAAATTTCAAGTACCTGCTTGCAATCTTTTTCAGATCCATAACAAGTTCACCTCTGCCAAACACCCTTGAACTAGGTGATACATAAGCAGTCCTAAATTTTATGACTACGTGCAACAGATAGAATATATCTGCCACGGTCCTTAAACAGGTAACAATAATTCCCAAATTCAAATCAGTTTGCATACATGATGAATTCCCTTCATTTACCACTGAAGGAAGATAGAAAAACAATGGATCAACAAATAGTGCTACCAAACAAGAAAACAAGAAAATTCTGTTCCATTTCAAGACAATTTCACTTCCAGGATCAAGTACTGTCTTTTTCTCTGGCTCATGACCTTCTGGAAAAACTTTAAACCTTCCAAATTTAGGAATCTTATTTTTTCTTGTCTTGTCCACAAATCCACCTTCAGATTTCCTTAGATGGCCTGAAGTTTTATACAGAGGCAGTTGTTTTTCAAGGTGCAGGCCCTCATTCTGTTCCCAGAAAACTTCAAGATTTCGTTTTTCCTCGTTATGAAACCTATAAATATTAAATTTATTAAACCCTATTAATCAAATTTTCAAAAACCCACAAAAAATAGCAGAATACAGTGGGAAGAAGAACAAGAAAATACCTGACTTGCTTCTCTTTCTTGAACTCCATGCCTACAATTTGTCAGTATACTGATTTTCACCAAATTTCTGCACTGTGGGTATTTGAATGAATGAATCCATCATTCCCAAGTCTTTCTCGCCATGATTCTTGATTGTAAAATGGTGTCAATTCCAAAAAATATACATAAATAGTGTGTTTAATCTTTAAAGTGGGAAAATGGAAAAATGTCTTTTTGTGGATGAGGTGGATGGAACCTGAAACTATGTTGATTTCGTGTGGGGTTGACTCGGCAATCCTTATATGTATACATCATTATTTACATCATTTTTGACATGATAATATATGATTGAACAATTTTAAAAAAACACAAGCTTTTCCATCTAACATTTTTTGAAATACAATGAAATGTAGTATACACAATAAAATGTACATATGGCATAATTCTTAAAAGATTGCTCAACAACTTAGCTGTAAAATGGAAGAAAAACAGGTGTATGGTGTCACTTGTTTATTTTATGCAGTAAATTAAATAAAGATTTGAGAGTAGAGAGAAGGACGTGAAGGCCATGAAAGAACATATTATAATACAGTAAAGATTGCAGAAAGAAAATTAAAAAATGGTGGGAAAGAGGAAGAGATTTTTGCGGCAGCTGATCTCTAGGGTAAACACATTTTGAAACGTGCCACCAAAACCTTTTTCTGCAGTGATTCCAGTACACCGTATTTGGTTGTGTTCAGAGTTAACTACTTATCTTTTTATGGAAACTTAATTTTCTAAGGAGTAAGTCCTAATTTACTACTATTTTACTTTTATAAGTACAATTAAATATGTTAAAAATTGCATTTTGGCTAACCTTGAAAGTAATTTTTTTAAAAAGACAATCGAATAATTTATTTTTTTACGTTTAATTAAATTTTGACTTCATTTGATGTGTAAAAAAACTGTCACATTTACATGAAAACTAAAGGTTGAACCCCAACATTGACGGCCTCCACCGTCCCGTCCCGTCCCGTCCCTAAAGCATCGTGGAGGAGGTAAATCGCAGGATGTGTCTCATCAGGTCAGTGTACAAGAGCTGTCATAGTGGTGCCTGCAAAAAGTTAAATTGCATACCTTGTAAGAGGCAGAAATCGAACCCTCACACTGCGACTGCTAGTTCAATTGAGACTACCTCACTCATATCCTTTGCACCATTGAGTTATGCTCCGGGGGCACATTGAAAAGATAATTATATTATATTTTTAATTTTATATAAATTTACCTAAATAGACATAAAAAAAATTAAATAAATTCTTTCAAACTTTTTTAGAGTTTGTATTTAACTAAAGTTCTAAAAATGATAAAATATCATTTTCAACTAAAATCATAAAACCTTACTAATCATAAGATACCATCTTCAACAGAAACTAAAATAAAAAATCAACACACTATTTTTGTTATAAATCTTTCATGATATGGAAAATGAAATCTTATTTTTTATGCTTTGTTTTAAATATTAGTTTGATAGATGAAAGTATAAGAGAAATTTCAAATTAAGTTTCAAGACCTGTCCAAATATTCTTACATTATAAAAGGAAACAAACTTAAAATTTCCAGCCAAAACACAAAAAGCCAAAATTATTAGCTTATAAGCAAAAAAAATTAATTAACATATGATTTGAGGAGGAATTTGTTTGATTGCGTGAACAATGTACTCTTAAAAAGAATCCAATATATTCAAGAAAATAGATTCACTAACATTTACAACTAAATATTAAAGCACCGACATGACAATATAGAAAAGAAAAAGTAATCAATTTGATTAATATAGTAATTTTTTAAAATTTTAAAATTGTATTATGGATGTATTTAGAGTTGGATGAATATATAAAATTTGTGTGGATCTATAATGTTTAAATGAATGAATTTAATAAGGATAATATTGGAATTTAACGTTGATAAAAATAGTACTTTTTTAAAATTTTAATATTCTAATGGGGATGAATATATATAAAAATTGTGGATGTAAATAACTATATCCTTTATTTTTAGAATAATGAACACCCCCCCCCCCCCCCTTCACATAGAGGGTGGCCCACAAATATTTTATTGTGTGTGGGCCCCCATCATGTGAAGGGGGTGTAAAAGATTGTGTAAAATATTATGTACACATAGCATTATCCTTATTTTTAACTTTGACTGAAAAGTAAAATATTATTATAAAATTTATTCATCTTACAAGAATTTTTTTTATGCTTAACCTAACATGCATCTCCTACAATTTAGGTTCGGTGTATACATACTGCTTTTTTTATCATATTATCATCATGTTTAATACGTTGAATTAAACATTATTTGATCTTAACTGATATAATAATACGTATATGTTATCGGGTCAAATCCTATTCAATACAATGCACTAAACATACATATCAATGGCATACTTTTACATGATAATTAACAAATTATACTACTAATACATTTTCTATAGCTCTTGAAGCATCAAAAGTTAATAATTCTAGTACAAGTTCAACAGTTGGGCACATGAACTAACTTGTCAGCACCAAGAATTTATAGGTCCCACAAGAAAAGATATTCATAAATAAAATTTGTTGTGTCGCATTTTTTTATTACATATTTATTTCTATAATAATTCAATGAAGCCTTATATTATCAAATGTTTTAGAAGAACTCATTTAATTTTTTCAATTGCTCACTTCGATATACTTTGATTCTTAATATTTTTGTTTTGTCTATCATTTGGTTCTATCCTGTGAAGAAAGGTACGAATATATTGAGTTGTATCTTCGTACTTATTTAAGTAGAATAAAAACAAGCAATCACTTTTTTTATATGGGATTTTTTTTTCTTCTTTTTTGGGAGCAGCTTTAATTATTTCTGTAGAAGTCCAACACTCCAACCTACCTCCATCTGGCAGCAGGCTGACAATTTTTGCAAAGAGACAAGTTGATAAAAATGTTGAATAGAACATCTGACTCTCCAAATAATTCTGGAAAAAAATATATTTTTTTCTTAAAACAACCTTACAACTGAGAGAACATTTTTTGGGCCCTCTTAATATTTATTTGAAAAAAGATTCTGTAAACAAATACAAAAAATTGGTATAAATACCCAATATGACCCAATTTTATGTTAGCTTAACTGCGTTCCAACACAAAGTCTAAGAAAATAACAATTTTTTAACATAAATATGATTTTAGGCAACCAAATGTTAGATGAGAGCTCAAACGTTACAAGCACGAAGTCTAAATGACTAGAAAACAAAACCAAAAATGTCTAATCGGCACAACAAAATATTAAAAATAGCATCGACTCAATTGTTACTCACAAATATATTTCAGTATATTTTTGTCAATATTATTCATAATAAAGTTCTTTATTATATAAATATAATGAATAAAAAGTAAAAAATATAATATTATAAAAAGGTCAAGAACATTTAGCGCATTTACAATGCGTACTTTATAAAGAATTGTATAAAAAATTTATACGTAACCTCCCTTTAATTATAGCTTAATACAAAGAATAATGGGGATGTTGAAATGATATTGAGCCACTAGTAGCAGTTGAATGCACCAGTTGACATATATTCATCACTGTGCTTGACATGATTAAAGCTTCAACCCTTTTAAAGTCCACGTGAACTCTGACCACTAAAATTCACACACTCAGATGATACAATTGACAAATTTTATCCCGCGTCTATCCATTATATGCAAATGCACAAGTTCCGTCTAGAACTGCCAATAAGGATTTGTGTCGTAAAGGAAATCATTAAAGCATTCGAACTTCATGGACTATGACCACCTGCCTTGACTAGAATTTGCATCCACTTAAGGACGCAATCCGACAAAAATGCAAATCAAGATTCTCAACAAAAATATAGAGTTCAATCCGACCATCAATATGTCGAGCTAATCCCCCAAGTACCATCTGGTACAACCAAGCACATAATTAGATGAAAGAACTCAACCATAACAGAGTTATAGCATCCACGTTTCTACCAAAGGGAGTAAACGGAGGGATAAATATAGTCGAACAAAATGGAAGGACCATAATTCTATCTCAAATTTATAAGCGATAATGAATAACAGAAAATAAAAATAAAAATCAGGTTGCTGCAGATAGCCCTCCAATTTGAAGCACGAAAATCAATAAGCACCAATAACATGACTTTCCCAGTGAGAAAGACCTCTTAATCGGCTTGCTTGTCGAAATGCCATCAGGCAAGGTCCCAAGGAGAAAAACAAAAGGCTGCACAAACTGCTTTATTTTTGACAGCAAAAGAACTAAACTAAAATTGATATATGAACACCAATCTGACCCGAATATAATTTTTATAGAAAACTCCCACAAAGTAAAATGTGCTCTGGATGAGGATTTAAAAAGTAGTTTCCACCAAAGACTGAACTGAGTAGTTCTTTTTTCTTTTTCTTTTTTTAAATAAAGTTTCTGATCTTGATTCGGGCAACAGATGGGATAGAAGAAAGATAATCTACAGTCCTATCACAATCTCAAAGAAAATTGAGAAAAGCTTTATCCATCTCTCTTGGCAATCAGAAAGGTTAACAGAAATCGACGACAGAAAACTGGACTTCAATATATTTTTAACGGGGGACGGAGGGAAACATGAGCACCTTTAGAATATACTCCCACATGACGTCTTGTTCAACACACTATAAAAGACGTAGTAAGGACCCAAGTGGAAGAATCTAGCAGATAATTCAGGGGACAGGGCAGATCCGTGCCAGAAATGTTTGAAGCCGCTCTTTATATCTAATCAAACACCATAATTATTTGACGTGAAGCACAACATAGCAGCAGACAACGTAATTATTCGAGGGGAGGTATATCATAGCCGCAGACAATCAATCATAAGAAGAATCTAGAACGGCAGCCAGCTTGGATCCACAATCTTTCAAATTGAAGATCCCACAGCAGGGCAGTGAAGGATGAAACCACAAGTGCAGATGCACAAAACCAATGAAGCAGAACCACGAAGACACCTCGGACACAAAACAAAAGTACAATATTTTTAGCAGTGTTCTATCAGAATAATAGCGTCTAATAGTAATATATCAGCTATCACTATAAGATCCAAACATAGTTAAGAAACTATAAAAGGGGTTCATGGGTAGACCTTAAAGGGAAAGGGGAGGGAAAAAAGGATAAAGTGACAAACCTACTTAGTAGTAAAGAAACTCAACCAAATGCAGGAGTTGAAGCTGAGGCCATCAACCCACTTACACAGTCGTAACTAAGTCCAAGCACAGTAAAAACACAATTCCAAAAGCTTCTGGACAGATTCAAATTATTTTCAACTTCCAGTGATCAGCTCCTGCTCCTGCGTCGATCCCTAATGCCATTTCTGCATGAGAACAAAATATGAAATCAACTGAGTAAACTGTACAATATGCTAAAATTAAAAATAGAAGCTACACACTAAGATCTAATGATGAACAGCAAGACAAAAGATTCAAGAGCAACTTCATCAGATAAGCAACAGAAGAACGTAACAGCGAGTAGTAAGTGCCATATATGCACATGGACGATATGGATTTTCAATTTGATCAAGATAACATATGTAATGACTAGGATGCAAGGATGTCAAGTAAACAAATATCAGTGAAGCAAGCAGATAAAGCTACAATACATCATTACAACAAAGTTTCTAGCACATTAAACTCACTCATTCTACTAGCATGATCAACCACAGTTCTCTATTGCCTTCCCAACCATCCTCAATAATATTTACAAGAATATTCAAGCACAGATAAATCTATTAAGAACTTCCAGAGAAACGTGAATCCAATTTGATTACTGAAAAACAAAAATCCATTCTGATAAACGTCCTGTCCAAGTTATTAGCGGGTTGTAGTAAGATAAATAAGAAGTATTGAGATAAGAAAATAAAGACTTCACCCATTGGCATATTGAGCCTCATCTCTTCCACGGTAAGGCGACCTACTGTAGACGCGACCTTTGGGCGACAAACTTCGACGTCGAGGAGAAGGACCACGAGGACTGAGACTCCTGATTCAATCAACAGCGTCATGCAAACATTGAGTTGAAAATAACAGTCAAGGTTGTTCTTTATTCTCCCAAAAATAAAAGCACCTCGCAACTTAATATATATTACCTTCTACCATAGCTTGGGCTTCTGCGATATCTAGGGGGAGTGCGACTCCTACGCCTTCCAGAACCTCCTCCACGGTTCCTGCACTCACGGGCAAAATGACCAGGCTCACCACACTCATAGCATTTTAAATCAGAACCAGAATGGCCACGCCCCCCACCACGGCCACCGCCACCACCACCACTTCCACCCCTAGAATTGTGAGAAAGCTCTACTCTCCAACCATTTTTACCTGTTTCAATTAATAAGGATATGATTTCTAAGAAATTTAACATCGCGATGTTGATATAAGAAAATGCAACACAAAAAGATAACAGCTGAAAAAATTAAACACTCCTACAGAATAAACATTTCAATATTCAACATGCGAGTTGGTATATAATTTTGATATATCTAAGTAGAAATTCCTTTTTCCTCTAACATTCAGACCAATTCACTGGACACCCTCTCATGTACTTTGGAGAACAGGTCGGTGTCCAGCATCAAGATGGAGATTGGAAACAAAGAAAACATGGATGCAATGTAAATCTCGGCATCCTGAAGTTCTACTTGTGAAGATTCATGTTGAAAGACCAATAATAATATATATTCTTTAAATGCATGCAATTTTATCATTATTAGCCTCATTCTAATAGGATAAAGGTCAATTTTCTATACCATGGCTAAGGCTAAGTTCCAGTGTACTGGTAAAAATGTCAAACAACTAAGTGTCCTCTAATTGGAATTGTAGATGTCAAATAAAGTAGACTACATAAGAGTTCTAGTTAAATCAAACCCACTAAATTTAGAGGAATCTTCCAAAATCCCCATGCCCTAATACAAGACGATCATTGGACCATAATAAATATATTTGACAATGTAAATTTCAACAATTTTACCATCTAGCTCTCGTATAGCATCTTGAGCATCCCTTCGATCATCAAAATCAATGAAAGCATAGCCAGGGGGTCTTCTAGCAACCCAGACACTATACAACGCATTAAAATTTAAAATAAGAAAAAGAAAAACAAGCTCGTCAAAAGATAATAGAAGATAAGATAATAGTTACATGATAGAACCCCACATTCCCAGTAACATACAATAGTAAAAACTCTATATTTTCACCTTCTGATAACTCCAAAAGTGCGGAATTCATCCTCAAGTTCTCGTTCAGTTACTCGTGGATCCAAGTTTCCGATATACACCCGAGACATCTTCAATCAAAACACCCTGCTAAAGGAGACCAATTTAACATTATCCACGCATATTATTCTAATTTTCAAGCTTTCCGAAAATATTAGAATTAAATGCTCCAAAGTTCAAAATTGAACATATAGTCCATACAATAACAATAAATAAATACCAAAGCAACTAGAAAAAATTATTTTTTTGTAAATTGAAAAAAAAAAGGATTCTCTATATAGATATAATCTAGTAGAGACCCAAACGTGAAAGATTTAGATCTTACTTTGAACGAGTGAAAATCTTCAGGCTTTTGGTTCATAACATTAATATATAAACATTTAGTGTGTGTGAATACGTTTGTACACGAGAGAGATAAGAGAGACCTGAAACCCTAGCTGAAGAGAGAGAACTCTGACGGCTGCCTGCTTGTGCTTGGCTTGACGTACGAAAGAAAGAAACTAAAGAGAAGTTTGCGGATTTGGGTATATATTTTAGGGAAAATTGCGGCCGTAGTCCCAACCCTTTCATTTTGTTGCAGATTACACCCAAACCTTTTATTTTTACGGGTAAAGTCCCAAACCCTTATATGTAGTTGCAGCGTCAGTCCCAAGCCTTTAATTCCGTCCATAAAACCGTCAGTCAACGTTTCAACAGTAATTTTGACTCGAAAAAATTGCAGCGCTGGTCCCCAACCTTTCATTTTGTTGTGATTACAACCAAACCTTTAATTTTTGCGGCCGAAGTCCCAAACCTTTATATATAATTACAGCGTTGGTCTATTTCACGCATTCCGTCCATAAAATCATAAGTCAACTTTGAAACAGTAATTTTAACTCAAATGTCATCTTAATTGATGGGTAAATTTGTCAAAACAAGTTATCCAAAAAAATGTTTGTTTTCTTCAAATCCTTCAATCTTTTCACAGACATCACATTCTCATCATCGATAACCATCTGATCAGATAACAATCTGATCCGATTTGTTATAATAATTGAATCCATAAATTATTTTTATGACATATTATTTGTCACTAAAATAAATAAATAGGAAAATAAAAATAACACAAACTGCATTTGGTACTACAATTTGTATATATTATTAAATAATTTTTAAATTGATTAAAAATTAAAAATAATATTAAAATAAGAAAATATTTTTTTAATAATATCTATGCCTAGGCTTTGTCTAAACATGCTGGTTTGGAATTAGCGTTGCAATTTTTTCATTTTTTATGGCATGTTATTTGTCACTAAAATAAATATATGAGAAAATAAAAAAGTTTAGTACTAAATAAAAATTTTTAATATTATTTTTAAATTTTTAATCAATCTTAAAATTATTTAATAATATATACAAATTATAGTACCAAATGTAGTTTATTTATTTTATTTTCTCATTTATTTATTTTAGTGACAAATAACATGTCATAAAAATAATTTATCGATTCGATTATTATAACAAATTAGATCGAATTGTTATCTGATAAGATAGTTATCGATGATGAGAATGTGATGTCTGTGAAAAGATTGAAGTATTTGAAGAAAACAAACATTTTTTTTGGATAACTTGTTTTGACAATTTTACTTATCAATTAAGATGTCTTTGAGTTAAAATTACTGTTTGAACGATGACTGACGATTTTATGGACGGAATGCATGAAATGGACCAACGCTGTAATTATATATAAAGGTTTGGGACTTCGACCGCAAAAATTAAAGGTTTGGGTGTAATTTACAACAAAATGAAAGGTTTGGGATCAGCGTTACAATTTTTTCGAGTCAAAATTACTGTTGAAACGTTTGACTGACGGTTTTATGGACGGAATTAAAGGCTTGGGACTTACGCTGCAACTACATATGAAGGTTTGGGGCTTCAGCTGCAAAAATAAAAGGTTTTGGTGTAATCTACAACAAAATAAAAGGTTTGGGACCACGATCGTGATTTTCCCTATATTTTATTCAGGCACTTACAAAAATACCCTTAAAATTAAGGATGTTTTGAAAAATTATGAGCTTATTTAGGAGAGATTTTTGGGAGAAGAATTGATTCTGAATAGTGATATGATGGGACATGTGTGGTTGAAAAAGAAGAAAAAATTATTGATGTGATGGAAAATATTATTTATTGAAGAATGTGTGATTGAAAATGAGAATTGATTTACTGTAGAAAAATTTTAGAAAGTAAAAAATATTGTGTAAAATAAAAAAGTGAGACAATGTCACTTTTTTTATAAAAACTGTCACTTTTTTTAAAAAAGTGACATAAACTCAAAAAAAAAAGTGACAAACACTTAAAAGGTGATACAAACTAAAAAAAAATGACGCAAACTCAAAAAAAGTGACCAAAATAGCATTATCTATTTGTACAACATCAATAATCAAGTATGTGATCCATAAAAAAGTGACAAACATTAAAAAAAGTGACAAATACTAAAAAAATGACAAAAATTTAAAAAAGTGATGAAAATTTAAAAAAGTTACAGATTCAAAAAAAGAAGTGAACACACTTTACAACCATGTTGTGGCGTATGTCCTCGATCTTATAATACCCTATGAATTGAAAATGACAAAAAATTCAAAAACGTGTGAAAAACTAAAAAAAGTAACAAAAAATATTAACACAAGGGACAAATCCAATTATGAAAGTGCATATACTAGAACTTCAACAGGATCTAGAAACTCAATACATTACAACGATTCAGACCACACTTCCATTGAGACCAAGACATTCATTAGAAGAAACAAATAAAAAGGTTTTGAGAGCAATTATATTCTTTTCCCTTTTCTTCTTTGTAAACGATAATGTTTTCAAATGTAAAATTGCTATTTTTTTGGCAGGAATCAAACGACAAACGTAGTAGTATCTACTTCGGCTGAAAATAAGAACAGAGAGGAATCTAGTCCTCAAAACCTCAAGGGCTCTACTGAGAAAGCTAATGGCTCACGAGCTAATGACTTCAACATTGGTAGTTAAAGCAATTCATGATACAATTTGATGAAAAGATCCCTGATTTTACTATAAGTTAATGCATAACATAAAATGTTGGCCAAAGGAAAGGTCCTCGTAAAGGGAATAGCTGAAAGTCGTCATGTCGTCTGACTACTGACTTGGGATGCACTTGTGAAGCTGTACATTGATGCTGAAGAAGTGGAAAAAGCCGACTCCATACTGCAAAAGGATGTTGAGAAGAAAAGGAGCATACCGATGTTTAGTTCGTATATGGCAGTTACGGACCAATATGCTAAGAGACGTGACATACACAATGCTGAAAAAATGTTCATTACTTATAATCACATTGCACAAAACCCATCAAATACCAACCAAAAACACATTTTCATCCTGGACATAGGTTCTTCCTCAACCAACCACTAAAACCCCAGAAGAATAGCTTTTTCTCGTCTTTTTCAAACCATTTTTTCATTTAAACTTTCATTTTCTCAATCAAAAATACCCAAAATAATATCATTTTATGGGCGTAATTAAGCTAATTTCGAAATAATTGGAGTAAAATAATATCAAGAAATTTCATTCACCCAAAACTTTTTTAAGATTCATGGAGTGATCCATATAAACATACAAAACAAACAAAATTATTAACTCACACATCAATGGCGCACTTCTCGATTACTTGTCTATCTCAAATTCAGAAAGCATCATTACAATTACGATAATACTAACTTAATCCCAATTAAAAAATAAATAAAAACAATCCATTTTTTTCCGAGAATAACAAGAAGCATACACTTTTGCACATGCGGTAAACAAAATCATCAAATCGAAATAAACAAACTCAAGCAGAAAAACCAGACGTACCAAGAGAACTTAAAGAAATCAAATAATTTTTGAAATACACGGGATATATAGTTTAATAGAAATGTAAAAAAGCCAAACTACAATATATGATAGTCGAAATAACAAAATCGCTGCATTTACCCATTAAAATTTGTAGGTGAAGATGGAGCCATATTAGAAGCCGATCACTTTGGCTAGTGAGAATGTCATAACAGAATGAGAGGTGCGGTGAAGCATATGAGGAACTGGAAAGAGGAGGAATTGATAGAAATTTAGGTTGAAGAAAGAAAATTGGAAGGTGATGTTGTGAAAAATTGAGATGACGGTGCGGTAGTTGAGGGTCTTGTGTGACTGGGGTGGGATTTGGGGATGTGAATTATGATATGGAGGAACTCAGGAAGGAGGTGAAAGTATTAAATACAGTGTATGAATGTTTTAGGGTATAAATCTAATTTGTTATTTTTTTAGAGTAGTAGGCCTAATTTTCTCTTTTATTTATGAGTTAAAAGAGGCCAAAAAAGTAGTAGTCATATTGTTTTGGGCCAAATTATACAAACAGGCTAAAGTCTGGCCCATATTCCTGAGTCCTCCTTTGCTTCTCATATTTTTCAATTGGTAAACAAAATATATACAAAAAATATTTGTCCCTTATTTCAAAGTGTGCTACTAGAATATTTGAATAGAAATCATCATGAGGATGCTATTTGATGGGTGTTAAGATAAAAATTGAAAACGGATTCATCACGAAAAGGAAAGACTATTTTCTATGACCGGTGATTTTTGAAAAACAAGGATTTGGATAAACACAACTTACATTTGATGTGTGTTTATTTCAATTTGTACTTGACCTATAGTTTTAAAATTTTAATGCAATTTGGATAATAATTAATGTCAAGAATGACTAATTAATTTACTCTGCCATCTTAAAGCGTTCACATCCCAAAGAGCTGGAATCCTTTCATCATTTTCGAATCATAGAATCATGATTTTAATTTCATTGTTAAAGCTTATAAAACTGTCAAAACTCATAAAAATGTCAATAAGAGATTGTATTGCAGCATATCGACCCACCTGCAACCACAAACGTGGCTTGTTTCTTCATGTGCTTGGGTTGAGCCCCAACGTGCAGGGCTGACAAGCTATCCGAGCTCATTGCCATCCCAATCCAACAACGTTCTATGTTTTGAGGTGATAGAAACCGTTTCAAATTTTTTTTTTTAAAAAAAAATTTAAGAGGAGTTTACAAATAATTTATTGTAAATTATATTAGGGTTGCATGATTTGGCAACTTCGAAGAAACCTTTCATCATGAATTTCTTGTAAATTTGCGTGATGACATTGTTTCAAAATCATTTCTCTCACGAATTAAGAACAAATATTTTTTGTAATGTTGTCCAATTGAATTTGGGGGATGAGGCAACCAGATGGCATGGACCAACCTACACATACATTGGACAACACAAGGATTTCTCGAGCTTTGGTGGCCTTAAACATTAGTTCAGTGCGACACTTAGTGGAATCTTCGTGGGTGATCCGTGATTTTAATATAGCACTGCTGACTCACTACCACAATTTTTTTAATCAAAACATGTATGTCGTCAAAGATACTTCTAGTCCGAAATGCATTCAAAAGAGGAGTACAAATTGGATTCGTATGCATAACATTCACAAAGATAAATTTGTTATATGTCGTAATCAAAGTGACCATTCTAAAATTTTATTTGAATTAAATAAACATGAAAATCAAATAAAGATGCGAGTTATATCATAATTTCATTTTTTTTATTTTTTAAGCAAATAAGATATGCAATAGAAAGTATACTGATTTGGGTTTTTTTTGGAGCCAAGTCAAACATGTCACATAATAAATTGGACCCTTCAATTCCGTGATTAAGTTCTCTTTGTTCTTTTAGGTTTGAGGTTTTGCCAAGATAGGAAATTTTAAATTGAGAGAGAGAGAGAGAGAGAGAGAGTCCACTGCATATCACGGTAGTTCTGATATATATAGTACATTTGTACTGCCAGAGTTTGTTGCAAAGCAGTGTGCAATAATACTCAACTCCCTAGTGCTTCTAATTTCACTACATTTCTAATTCAAACCCAAGGAGATCAAGATGGAAAATTCCAGCAAAATCTTTGATGTCATAGTGATCGGAGCAGGGGTTATGGGAAGTTCTACGGCTTACCAGACTGCCATGCGCGGCCTAAACACCCTCCTACTCGACCAGTTCGACTTCTTGCACCACCGTGGCTCGTCCCACGGTGAATCAAGAACAATCCGTGCAACCTATCCTGAAGATTACTATTCCAACATGGTCTTAGAGTCCTCACGTCTTTGGGAAAAAGCTGAAGCTGAAATAGGATACAAGGTCTACTTCAAGACCATCCAATTTGACATGGGACCGTCTGATGACAAAGCCCTGAGAGCTGTAATCAGCAGTTGCAAGAAAAACTCAATCCCAGTTCGGGTTCTTGATCATCATCAAGTATACGAAGAATTCTCTGGTACGATCGAGCTACAGAGGGACTGGATTGGGGTGGTGACAGAGCATGGTGGTGTAATTAAGCCAACGAAGGCTGTGGCCATGTTTCAAACACTTGCAGTTAAAAATGGTGCAATGCTTAGAGACAATATGGAAGTGATTGAAATTAAGAGAGATGAAGTGAAAGGAGGGCTGATGGTTTGTACAAAGAGTGGTGAGAAATTCTGGGGTAAAAAATGTGTTGTAACTGTAGGGGCTTGGATGAAAAATTTGGTTAAAGAGGTTACAGGATTGGATCTTCCTATACAGCCATTGGAAGCCACTGTCCACTATTGGAAGATCAAAGAAGGGCACGAGGCCAAATTCACTCTTAAAACTGGTTTCCCAACATTCGCGAGCTATGGCGAGCCATATATATATGGCACGCCATCATTGGAGTTTCCAGGATTGATCAAAATCTCGGAGCACGGCGGCCGCCCATGTGAGCCTAATGAGAGGACGTGGGCTGCACCGCCTTTGGTGGTGGACTCTCTGAGGCAATGGATAGAAGGAAGATTCGGAAACCTCATAGATCACAACGGGCCTGTGATGACACAGTCTTGTATGTATACGATGACACCTGACGAGGATTTTGTGATTGACTTTGTTGGTGGGGACTTTGGAAAGGATGTGGTTGTTGGTGGAGGGTTTTCAGGGCATGGATTCAAGATGGCTCCATTAGTTGGGAGGATACTGGCTGATCTTGTGACTGTTGGTGAGGCAAAAGGTGTGGACCTCAAGTACTTTAGTATAGAAAGATTCAAGGGGAATCCTGCAGGAAATGTTAAGGATTTTGAAGATCAAGTCAACACCCATTAGCTGATTTTCTCAAGTCAATGTTCTCTCTCCTTCACTCCCTCCCTTTAGCATGTCCCTTTCTTGATCAATGTTAATTCATAAACCTGTAACTATGGCAAGGATATAATGGAGGCAGCAAGATATTATGGTAATTATGATAAATTTAAATTTAATTAGAACGAAGCAAGACTGTTCCAAAGGGAAGAAAATCAATTACAAAATTTCAAGATTTCAGAACATAAGCATCAAATTTGAGTTGGGGATAAAAAACTGTCCTGATGATATTCCTTACTATAATTTGCAGCCCTTCTAATACTCTTTGCATTGACAAACTCTCCAAATATGAGCAACATTTGTATCTAAAATTAACATCAAAGATAAAACAACTGTGGCACACTGGTATTCTACTTGTTACATTTATAGAAAAATCGTCTATAAACTGCAATAGACCTACAACTACAGCTTGATTTCTTAAACCAATTCTAAATCTATATCCTGTATAATGCATTTTTCCTTATTGACAGCAACCAAGAAATCTGTGATTACGTAATAAAAGAGAAAATCACAGTTTCCAGATTGGCAAACAATGAATCAAACAACCTAAAATAACGAACTCAATGATATGTATACAAGCTTATAGACATATCTGTAGCACATTTGCCGCTGCAACTTCATTCCTACCTTGCATCAGGACCTGCAGAGTGAATGAATACTAAACTGTTAGCGAGCATATTTCTATGTCCAGAGAGAGAGAGAGAGAGAGAGATCCTACATTTTCCCCCAAAAGGTGAACGCTTGATCAGGTTCTCAAACTACAAAAGTTGCAAGAAGAGCATGCAACACAGCCCAGTAGATTATGACACTAAGTCGCAGAGCAGGTTGTCGCATTAGTGCCCGATCACATGACATCCTGGCCAGAATTTACAAGAGGTGATAAATGGGAAGTCCATGAATGTCATCATATTTCATAGAAGTAGATTGGACCGTACCACAAACCATCAATCATATTGGTTACCGGTCGCGTAAATTGTGGAACAAGTCTTGATGTAGTGAGTGACTTGAACCCATGAGCTGAAAATGAATAAAAAACCATAGGAATGAAAGAGAAATGAGTCTTTGATAGATGCAAGAGTTGGACTTACAGAAGTGATGCAATGCTTTTCAATTACTATAGCTAGACAGTACATTACCTTTATCATCGCCATCCTCCTCCAACCTGTCACTACTGGGATCAATATCTATTGCAACGGCAACCTGATCACTATTGGTTTTCCGCAAACTGCGAACTTGCGATGCTATTGTAGGAGTTGTCCATTCGTTTGTCTACATCAGTAGCCCAACAGAAATCACTACCAATGTATAATATTCCCAGTAAAATATAAAGAGAAAGAAAATTGAAAAGGAAAAGAAGTAACATGAAAATAACAAAAAGCTACACAAAATTGGAAACACTTCGTTTGTAATCTAAGAAAATGATACCAACTTCAAAACCAGCAAAACGCTCTTATGTCTAGACACTTGGGCCAGTTCGACAAATAAATCAATAAAATACTTAAATACAATACCACTTGTTCAACTTCCATGATATCTGAGGGAGCACTTGGAGCTTGTCCAGAATCTCCAGCACCTTGAAGCATAGTTAATTGAGAATCCTTTTCATGCAAAGAATCCTTAAGATATTGTTCTTTTCGTGTCAACTCTTCCACTTTTCCCCTTGCCTCTTGCAATAGCTTATCACTGTTCTGGGCCACCACACGAAGATTCTCCAATTCAGATACAAAAGCCACGATCTGCTTTTGTAGCTTCTCTTTATATTCATTAACCTTATCAACTTTCATACTATCAGAAGCTAGATCATTCACCTGCACCCGAGAAATCAGTGTATCTAACCATGTCAGAAAATCATGAATTTCATCAGAGCTCCTTTTCTTGCTCATCTGGGTTGCAGCTAGTGCATCATTCGTGCACCTTGTAACCTCTTGCCTAAGGAAAGATATTTCTCTATCCCGCTCTTGCAATTGTGACTGAAGCTTCTCAACTGCTGAAAGGAGATTTTCAGACAGATAATGAAGTTCATCAAACTTGCTCACTGTGACAGAAAGCTTCTTCAAAGCCTTCCCACGAGAAACTTCAAGGTTTTCTAAATGTTCATTCTTCTGTTGCAATTCTCTTTCTAGATTGCCAATCCTGTTTGTCAGGTCCTCCATTTGAGCCTCCTCCTCATCAAGTGCTTGCATCAGTGATTCAGTTTCTGAAAGAGCATATAATAGATAACTAAACGATTATGATAAAATCTAAACAGAGATCACATTATTACTGAAATAGAGATGCAGCTAAAAGAAGCTGTTCAGCTGACCTTGTTCTTTCGCAGCTAGCGCATCTGTTAGAGATTTAACTTTCTGCTGCAAGTCCTCAGATGTGACTTCCTGATCTAGTAATTCTTGCATTCGGTGTTCCAATTCCCTGTGCTCCACTTCCTTCACATCCACCTGTTTCTGTAAATCATCTAGCTGAGCCCTCACAGACTGTAGGTCTTTCAAATGATTCCTTGCCTTAGATTCAGCTTCCTTTATCTGATTAACAAGCTCCATACAAATTCTGTCTCTCTCGATGTCCTTTTCCTGAAGCTCTTTCTGTAAATTGAATATTGTATCCTTCATCTCCTTCTGTTTAACTTCCAGAATAGCAGCTTGCATTCTTATGAAATCCTTCACAACCAATAATAATTTGTCTCGCATGGTCCTGATGCCTTCCTCGGTAAAGGCATCAGCATCACCAGTAAGATCACCCCCTCCATCAACAGATATTGGATACTTCAACTTCCACTCCAGTGCTCCAGAGGGCAAATCATTTCCAACCAGATGGGTCTTCAAATTTTCAATTTCCAGGATTGCACTGTTGCAGGCTTCATAAATCAAGGAAATGTTTCTACGCATAGTAAATAAGTCGGAACGTCTCTCTCTCTCAACGGACTCTAGCTGTTCAACACTTCTCTTCATAGACTCAAGTGATTGTTTCTGAGAATAAATTTCAGTATGAACAATCCTTGCTACTTCAGATAAATGGTGAGTTTCTTTGTGTAACAAAAGCTGATGATTGTACAATCGCTCCTTGAGAGAACAAAGTTCTGGCATAAAAACCTGCGGATGACAAGCAAAAAAGGTAAAAAGTTAAGCTTCAGCATCTTACAGACTGAGCAGACCTCTCCTGTACAGATATCACATAAAAAAAATATCAAGCTATCTCACTCCTCTGCCTCTCTCTTTCACTTTCACCATTTCCCTCTCCAACCCCTCTTCTCCAACATTCAAATGAAGTACATACCTACTCAGCTTCATCAGTATTTTAGTTGTTGGCAAAAAGATAAAGAGATTAGAAGAATATATAGATCAAGAAAGAGAATGATGGAAGACAAATGAATGTAAAGAACGAGTCAAGCAAAGCCAAGGATGTCAATATACATAAAAATTAACATCAATAAATACTTTACCTTGTTTTCTGGTTTTGTTGAAATGATGCCACCACGGGAACTACCAGGAAATAGAGCATTCACATCAGGTGCATCACCTAGTTCCAGGAATGATTTCATACTGACCTCCATATTCCGCAAAACTTCCAAGTCCTTGGAGAGAACATCCCCCAGTACATTGTCAATAGCAATAAGCTCCTCCCTCAATTGATCCATGACGGATTTTAACACCGTGACTTCAGACAACTGTCTATCCTTTTCCTCAGCATGAATAGCAGACAGTTTTTCCATACGAGCTATAGCTTCATGTTTGGCTGCTTCAGCTAAATCCTTTTCATTAGAAAGTTTGGAAAGCTCATTGGAAGTTTTTGCTAGCTCCCCTTGAAGGATATCGTTTCTTTCTTGAACTTCATTCAACTCTGCCACCAGTAACTCAGCTGCTCTTTTTGATTTCCTTGATTCTTGTTCAGTAGATTCCAGGGCCATTTGGAGACCATGGCAATGTTTCCCAATTTCTTTCAGCTTCTCAACTGGATTGCCAAAATTACGTGCAAGACCAACTTCAATATCACCCAAAGTGTCTAAAATCATGCTCAAGCTACTCTCCTTCTCCTGCAAATGGCGTTCGGCTTCTGCCACATGATCATTAAGGAACATATTCTCAGTTTCTAAACCTTGCACCCTTTCTTGGCTCACTGATAAGTCCTTGATCCTTTGCTCATACTTGAGAATAGCATTTTTGTTAAGATTGATCTCAGATTTGAGGTGCTCTACCTCAGCGGTTAGCTCTTCAATCACTTTCTTCATGCCATCCCGCTGTTGCACCAAGGACTTCCCTTTCCGAACAGCAACATTTAGCTTCTCTCTCAAAGAAGATGACTTATGTTCCTCCTGATTAAGTAGCTCTTGCAGTTCATTCTTTTTTATTTCTAGTGCTTCAAGATCACAAACTAAGGATTGATTATTCTGCAGACATTCATCTTTCTGCTGCTTCAAACATATCAATTCACCCATACAATCCTCCAGTTTTTTGCTCAGAATCACTACATCTTGCTCATCAGCATTTCTTGGAATTTGAGATGGCTCATCTTTTTCACTATTGCGCGAATCAGCCACATCACTGTTAATAGGTTTCCCTGAGGAAAGTGTTTTATATCTTTCTATAAGCTTCATCACCAGTGCTTCGAAATACTCATTACCGTCATGAACAAATACCATATCATCCGTACCAGAATCCTGAAGAACATCCTTAACCAAACCACAGAGTCTTCTTACAGTAGACTCAACAAGACGAATATCTTCTTCAACGCCAAGCTTCTGTTCCAATTTCTTTTGCAACAATCTTATTTCACTACTAAGGTTTCCATTGTTTATTTCAAAATCAGCAGCTTTCTTTGAGATTTCATCATAATCATGATTAAGGATCTCCAAGTCCCTTGAAAAAATTTCTCTCTCTCTGATAGCCTGCTGAAAAGCTGATATAAGCTTCATCACCATTGCTTCTAAATATTCAGTACCATCATGAACAAATACCGCATCATCCGTACCAGAATCCTTAAGAACATCCTTAACCAAACCCTGCAGTCTGCTTATAGCATCCTCAACAAGGCGAATATCTTCTTCAACCCCGAGCTTCTGTTCCAGTTTCTCTTGCAACAAACTTAGTTCATTATTAAGGTTCCCATTGTTTATTTCAAAACCAGCGGCTTTCTTTGAGATTTCATCATACTCATGAGTAAGAATCTCCACGTCCCTTGTGAGAATTTCTTTCTCTCTGCTAGCCTGCAGAAAAGCTGAATCTAGCTCAAATATTCTTCTTTGTGTATCCTCCAGGTCAGTGGTTAGGGACTCACGAGATGTTTCAAGGTTTTCAATCTTCTGCTCAAGGGAATAACGCTGGTTCTGAGCCTCTGCTAATGCACTTGCCAACCACTGAATCTTATCATCAGGTTCCATGGACCGCAACTGAGAAGGCATATCTACTCTGTCCAAAATTTCTTCCCACCGCTGCACGAGATTGTTCCTCTCAATTAATGATTGTTCAAGCATCTCATTTTGCTCGGCCAACCCAAAAAAATTGCTCTGCAATTCCTCAATTCTTCTTCTTAAGTCATCAGTGGAATTTGGATTTGGCTGCGTGTCTTCCTTTAAGCCATCCACATCTACAAACCCAGCATCAGAGTATGATCCTCCTCCCACTGAGCTTCTCGGATCCCAATCGGGAAGAGGCAAAGAGTTCCCTGTAACAGATTTTGCTAACCAATCAATCTTTTCAATGATATCCCTGGAATGGAAGTCCTCGGGCAGCTCTAGATCTTCTAGAATCTCTTCTATTCTCTGAAGAACGGAATCTTTAAGAAGAAACGATTCTCTTAATGCAGTAGCTGAGTTGCGAATATATGAGAGCTCAGATTCCAGAGCTTCCATGCGTTCACCAGCCTCAGAATAGGCCTTAAGTTTTGTTTCAAGTTCATTAAGCCTAGCGCCTTTCATTAGCAACTCTTGAGAACGTTTCTCCAGCTCTTTGGATGTCTCTGCTAGGGATTGTTTGAGACTATCACGCTGTGAAATCAGACCCTTCCCCTTTGTAACAGCTATACTTAGCTTCTCTCTAAGGGATGACACTCGTTGATCTGACTGGTCAAGTTCAGCAGCTTTCTCTTGTAGTTTGAAAGTAAGAGTAACTACATCCTCTTCGGCACTTTTCAAACTTTGCATGAAAACAAGATTTTCATTTTCATATTGAACAATAATGATATTCAATTGTTCAATTTGTGCCTGCAAATCACTTAATTCCGTTTCCCAAGAAGCAGCCTCCTCTCTTGACATGCTTAAACTCCCAGCAGCCTCCTTATATCTCTTAATTAGTAAATGTATGAGAGACTCTAGGCGTGAGGAAGGTTCATTTGAGGAAACTTCCATCCCCACCAGCCTGACTGATTGTTCAATATCTTCAACTAACGTCAAAATGGCATCTGAACTAAGACATCTTTTCTCCAGTTCATCAATATCTCTAGCTCTGTTCATCAACTCTGCATTGAGTTCATTATGTGCATACTGAAGCTGTATCCTCTCACCAAGAAATGTGTTCAGTTTCTCCAAGTGGGTATAAAAAACGCCAGGATGTAATAGATCTAGAGAGTCATGTCTTGACCAGACAGTTTCTGTTTCGTCCTTGCACCCAGCTGCTTCACCAACAAGTTTGCAGAGGTCATCATCAAGTCTGTGCAATATATTGGTAATCATTTCATTCTTTTCTTGCAGAGTATTACATTTCTCATGTTTATCGTTGTAGGCGTTCCACAGTGCTTGATGATCATTGTGCAAAGCTTCAAGTTGACCTCGCAGACCTAAAATCAATTTGTTGGTAGCATTAACAGAAATAGAAACACGGCTAACAACATCCAGGCTGTTATCTACACCTGCTAATGAGGTGGAGGAACCAAATGGATCGATGCTAGCATCCAGCTTACCAACTTCCTGAAGAATCCGAGCAACGCTAGAATTCCATTCTTCTTCCAGTATTGATTCCCATTTAGCTACTTCTTTCTGGAGAGTTTTCACTTGATTGGTGATTGAAGCAACCATCTCATTTGAATTTTGACATGTTTCATCAAATTGACTCTCTAATTCACTAATTTTGGCTTGAAATTCACCCAGCTTTTCTCGGAGCTCATTATTCTCTGATTTCAGAGAGAGCTCTTGTTTCCACAAGGCATCACGTAAAATAAGAAGCTCACCATCTCTTGAAACAGCGTTATGTACATGCTCCCTTGTAGCTTCATAGAGAACCATAAGCTCTATGTTTGCTTCTTCTAGATGATCACTGTGCTCCCTCAGAGATTCGTAGTCACTCCTCAACTCTACAGCATCCGCAGCAGCAAGCAGTTTAGTCTCCTTCATCCTTCTACAGAACTCGCTGGCATTATCACCATCCAGAATTAACTCCTTGAGCAGTGCTCTCAGATTCTGAGTTACCCGTTTGGCTATAACATATAGATCTCCTGTTGTTTGGTCTTCAGAAGAACGAGGTTCCTCTGAATCATCATCATCTGTGTGACTTTTTGACTCAAAGGCTTGAATAAGTTTTGATACTCCAGATCCAACTACTTTTCCACTCAACCTACTCAGGGAAGTTGAGTGTTCGTGCATTCCTTCAATTGCCTTTTCAAGTTTTTGCATTACACTCTCTGCATCCTCCAAGTGTCTTTTCAGTGCAACAAACCCAAAAGAATCATCATATGTCTCCAATTTCAGTCCCTCCAGAGATGATCTATCTGCATGGCATTCAGATGCAGTCTTCTCCGATATCAGAATTTCACTCTCTCTACTCCCTTTAAGTGGGGAAGAATCATCATCAACTGCCTTACTGCCCTCTGCCTGCAGACTAGATAATGATGTATGGATTTCTGAATACTCGTTTGGTTGGTTCTCATTTTCACTGAATTTTATTTCCTTCTTTTCTTCAAGCTTGTTTTTATCCTCTGTTATGGAAGTGAGAACCCCATTTAAGTGGGAGATCTCAGCCTGTAGAGCTGCCACCAAATCTTTGCTGTCCATCAACTCTTTTGATTGTTTCTCGTTGTCTTGCAGCTTAAATTCGCTTCCCTCTTCAAGCACCTTTCGCTTTTCTCGTTCTGATTGGAGGACATCATTCAAATTCTTGTTTTCCGTTTGAAGAGCTTCAACCATCCTCTTATAATTGGACAAGTCTGCAAGCAATTCATCATTATCATGAACAACGAATTCCTTGTCATCCTCAAGCTTTCTCCTCTCTTCTCTCAGTGAAGTCAGATTCTCAGTTAAGTCAATATTTTCCAATTGAAGCAACTGCAAAGAAGTTTGGCACTGAGCTAACTCTCTTGTCATTTTCTCATTCTCACGCACAATGTGTTCGTTCTCCTCTTGAAGTTTCTTATTCTCCTTGGTCATCTGTTTAGAACTTTCATTTAAGTTTTCATTTTCAATCTGTAAAGCTGCCACCAGATTCCTGCAATCCAGTAACTTTGATGCCAGGCTTGACAAGTCTCCTTGAGTTGTTTCAAGGTTATTCTGCAACTCATTGACTTTGGCAGAAAGTTCTACAACCTCGGATATTGATAAGTAAAGCAGCTTTTGGAGCTCCTCTCTCCCGGAAACAACCTCCTGAAGTTCAGACCTACATTGTGCAAGTTCTTCGGTAAGCACTTCATTTTTCCCTTGAACTTCACTGAGTGAAGTATTGGACATCGATTTCTCACCAGCCAACTGTTGATGTTCAGAGATCTGTAAGCAAAATACATCTCTTGCAAAACTTGTCAGATATAAATGTTCTTTGATCTGCTCAAAAGCATCATAAACAACATACTCATGCACCTTCATGTTGTCTGTATTTCTTAATGTTTCCGCAGATAACTCTCTTGACATGAACAAGAACCTAAATTCATCTTCATCAAGGCTTTGTAATACTTTTGCTAACTGGGAAAGGTTGATCAAACTTCCATCTGATCCAGAAGACAGATCCACCTTCTGTCCAAAGGACTTCCCAGCACCATTAGTATTGAACTCAGAAGATCTTTCAGCATTAGTATCGCCAAAATTTACATAAGTGTCTTCAGCATAATCACCCGACACAGAAACCATTTCTGTCTTCTCTATATACGATGAGTCAGATAATAAGTCTTCTCTCTGCAGACCAGCCGCCTCAGAATTTACATGTGAGATTCCCTCTGAATCAGGCAAAGGTTTTGTGCTATCCCTCCCCTGAGCATCGCCAGTATCATTGATAGCAACAACGGATGATGAAGCATCATCAGGCTCTCGTTGTGCATCCACCTGGATTGTTACCTCAGCCACTTCGGCACTCCCTGAATCAGACATCATAGGGACTCCTGCACTCTCATCAAACTCATTTGAAGAAAGTCTAGATTCTTCTTCAAGCTGCATCACCCTGCCAGCATCAGCTTGAATCCCACCTGAAGTGCCAACTTCCTGCACAGCCCCTAACCACAACCAAAGTAAAATTTAATTTTAAGTCAGCAACAAAGTTTAAAACATATAAATTAAATGGGAAAGGAAAACAGTGTCAAGAGTGAAGGCACAAACCTACATCTGTTACCTGCTCTTCCCCATGCTTCTTCTCCGGTTGGGATGAAACACCAATGGGCAAAGATAAACTGGATTCTGTAGATTCCTCTTCGGGAACAACTACATCTAAAGTTCCTGACATATTATGTTCCATGTCCTCAGGAAGTATAGAAGTATATCTACCTCCATCTGAGATAGACAAATCAACATCATCACGTCCATCACTTTCATTCAACCTGGTCTCAGCACCTCCGGAATCCTCTAATGGAAACTTGACATTCCCTGCAGCCAACTCTGTGGTTCCAACTATAACAGCTTTTGTTGACAGATCATCAGTGGCAGAAACGGTATCAATTTCCATTGAATTCGCTCTAGAATGTGATTCCGACAAAGGAATATGATCTTCAGCATCCTGCCCAGATCTTTCTCCACCTGCAACTTCTTTCGGTTTTGCCACTGCTTTATTGGCAGCATTTGCACTTGCATCACGCCCAGAATTAAAAGCTTTGCCTGATGATTTGCTCATATTCCCTTTATTATCCTTCTTCTGCCTGAACTGTTGAAGCTTTTAAAAGATAAACCAATAATAAAAATCAGATTTATTCCTGATAATAACCATTGTAGATTGAAAAACTATTACGTAATAAATTAAGGGAAAGACGACTTTGGTAGTTGAGGAATATCTTGTATAGACCTAACAAAGTTCCCACTTTTAAGTGTGGTGTGATCTCAGTAGAACATATTTGAAGGATAGACCAAATTAACGTGGCATGTTGCTATTGCTAAGGTTCTATTTGTTTTGGATCTTCCAAGAAGTAGCAATGAATATAAACGAGTGGTGAGAGAGGAAGCATGTAACCGACCCAAAAATACTAGGAACAAGTTTATTTGTTGTTTGTTGTAGTTTTCATTAGTTTTCATAACCAAAAGAATGAGGGCAAGCTTTTTCAAATTTTTTGTCAATGATAGTTTTATGATTTGCATTGTTTAGACCCACTATTTTGGATGTTAAGAATCCTTATTTGATCATTGATAGCAGCTGTTTTTATGTAATTAATACTTGTAGGCATATATTCTCGTTGCTAATCTCATTCATTCTAGTATTAGCACACATTGTAGCATTCTCATTTCAATTATCCTGTGGGCATCCTATTCTCCACCCGTCCAACGTTCAGTAGCACAAAGCATAGCAAGTCTAAGACTAGTTCAATAGAATTAGACTTTTAAACTTTTATACATCATCGTGTCACACAGAGTTCTTATAACATTTCTTCATCTCATCCAACTTGCTCTAATCCTAGGCATTAAATCCTGTTCAATTCCTCCTTGTTAATAATCAAATCTAAATACTTAAAAAAACTACTTTTTTGAACAACATTATTCTCGACGGTAACTTCACCATTATCTTTATTCCTACAATTACTAAAGTGGCATTGAATGTAATCTGCCATGGTTCTACTTAAACTAAACCCTTTGAATTCCAAAGTACTACAAAGTTCTAAATCATGATTTAAGTCCATTTTAGTCTCATCAATTAAAGTTGAGTGATTAGCAATTAGCAAATATCACTCTCCCATGAACCTCATCTTAATATGTCCCATAAGCTCATCTACTACAAAATGGAAAGATAAAAAACTTAACATGTGCAATGAAATTTCCTTGATGACTAAATACACATCAACACATTTCTAGTTGGATTTTGCTACTTGTACATCAGGATGGTACATAAGTGGTTACCGAAAATGATGTGGAGGGAAAAGATTGAATGAAAAAAGTGATTGTATTTTAAACTCGCAAATAGTAGAGTGTCACGTGTCATTGTGTAATCCATTATATAAATCTTGACGTCTATGTAACTGACCCTTTCTAGTTACATGTGACATGACCCTTTCTAGTTACATGTTGACAAGTGGTTATGAAAACATTAGTTCGTAGATATGGAAAGTTGGTTCCTAAGATATAATGACCAGCTAAATAATAACATTGCCCACCGAACATAAAACTCAATAGTGAATGCAATGAAAGACTGCAACTATTCCCATAATCACGTACACAAACCAATCTTTGTTCCCAGAAGTGCACTCAACATGGGACATGGCATCAATTTTCATTTCTAAGAGTCAAAGAAAAAGATTAATATACTTCAGAGCAGTTATTAATTATTACCATCCATCTTCTCAGTAGTCTTAAAAATATTTAAGAAATTCCTATGACTACTAAAAAAATTGAATTCTTTTACTAGAAAAAATGAGAAAATAATACCTTTTTACGTCCAGCAGCAAGCAGATCGTTACGGTCCTTATTTTTGTCCATCCAGTCGAATCCAACCAATTACTATTCAACAGTCTCAACAGCTTTCAATATCAAATCAAACAGATCGCCCCTAAAATTCTAAACAANTTAATAAGGGATTCGTTTTGATCTTCTACTACTCGTTCCCTTTGCTCTTCATCCATTGCAACTACATCCACCTTAACCAGGGATTCCATATTTTCCCCTTCAAATTTCCTATCCTCTTCAACTCCTATTGGCTTTTGACCCTAACATTCTAATTGGGGTGTTCACATCCATGACTAAAAACTCGACGTTCGGCGTGGACAAAATTGTGCCCACACTGAACGCCAATCCTGGCTCCGCCCCTGATCATGATCAAGGGGATCCAGTGCCTGACAAAAAAGTAATGTGTCAATACGTAATAGGAGAATATATAATTGAAAATAAATTTGAGAAAAAAATTAAATAAGTTGTGTCGAAAATTGCTTAATTATACACATGGATAGAGATGTAGTTCTTTATCAACTGTTTGGTGAACAGTTGGTGTTTGTTAAATGTATAACTTACTCTTATTCCATTGTATATTAATTCGATCGATGACCATCGCAAAATTTACACCAGAATTATAAAATCGTATTATACCATTTAAGACCTATTACCTCTCTACTATGACCATCTATTTTAATAAAAGTCCTCTTATGCAAATTTTTCTTGTGATCATTAATTTCCTCATCTAGAATTTTTTAATATTTCATTATTCTTTGAAAAAATAATTATTAAAAGTGGATGATATTTTCTTAAATTTATTTCTTTAAAAGATGGTGAAGAATGTTTATAAAATTAATGATCTTCATTTCCTTTTTAAGGTACAAATTAAAAAATATATATAGAGAAATTAAATATTGCAAAAACATCATTTGTTTTTTCTTTTTCCAACACTATTAGAGAGAGAAATGGAAATTATTATATATAGTTCAATGAATAAAAATTAAGCATGCATTTTTAATAATTATGTCTTGCTTCTTCCTTTAGGGAAAAGGGTTAATAAAAAGAAGACAGATACGTATATTTGATTCACATTAATTGGGAAAAATGAATTTTAAATATTATTTTTAGAAAAATATCTTCTATATCTCTTCTATATAAAAAGTGGCTATCTAACAGATTTTGTTGGTTTAACGGAAAAACTAACAGATTTTTCTTGTTTTAACGGAATGATTTTCCACCGGAATGATTTTCCACCGTTACGGAGAAATTCAAACCCTACCCTGTCATTTCTCATCCCCATTCGTCTCTCCTGACCTCGCCTGTTTCAGCAGCAAGACCGCCGATTCAAGAGTGAGTCTGGTGACTCGGTGGTGGTCCACTGGCACTGTTTCTCTGCGTGACTGCAAGTTGAAGGCATCATTTCTTTTAGTCGCCTTTATTATTTCAAATCCCCCATTCCAAATCCCCCATTCAAATCCCACCCAAATCCCTTCGAAAACGATCCCTAAATTTCGTTTATCTGGATTTACTTCATGTCTTGTCCTGCAGAAATTGTAGTTTAGGTAATGGAAGTGAAATCGATGAAGACGAAATTTGAGGAAATCAAAGGTAATTTAGCTAAATTGGAAAATTTCTAATTCTTCCTATTTTTCTTCCATTCTTGCGAATTGTTGGAAATTATGAGGTGTTGTTGGGGTGTGGGCATAGGAAGATGGTGGTGTTTGTGAATTTATTGTGGAAAACATAGGATAAGTTGATATGTTACATTCCTTCGAAATCCTGTGCATGTAAAGTGTTCGATAAGTTGTTCAGGCGAAATATGTGTTCAAATGTATGATAATTGTTATCTTCACCTTTAGATTAGGATTATAGCATGCTAATACTAAAGCTAAAAAAGATGAAAATCCAAACGCATTCAGACATCACCAACTCATTCTAATTGATGTTTAAGTTTAAAGGACTAGATAGTGCTATTCTTAAACACCTGGGCAAGAATATTGATTGCCCGAGCATCTTGTGCCATTATTAGAGTCCAACTGAGAGATGTTGCCTTGTCACTAGAAGAATTCAGAAGTATCACTCAAGAAAGGGGATTACTGAAACAAGTGTATTTGGGTGTGTGTGTGTGTGTGTTCTTGGTCTATGTAGTTGCTAATCTATTCATTTGTGGGAACTCTCACTTACTTCTCTGGTTTCAAATTGCAATTCACAGCAAAGAACTTTGGTGCGACTGAACTTATCAACCCAAAATACTCTGATAAACCAATACAGCAGGTAATTTTGGATCTGACTGATGTTGGTATTGATTATAGTTTTGAGAATGTCTCTGTGATGAGGGCTGCTCTGTAGTGCTGCCATAAGGTTACTTATTTGAAAATTTAGTACTCAAATCTTTGACGCCACATTTGCAGTTGTGTATGCTGAAGTTCTCTATAAAATTCATCTCGTCTGCATACAGAGTACAATGTACAGATACTGAATACATAAATATAGATCTTGTGTGTGATCTATCATATGCTTAAAGTGATGTATCTAGCAAAATTATCATCAAGTTTGAAATTGTTGTTCCATGAAAATTATGCAATGTTATTATTTCAACCCATTAGATTGCCTATATCGTTGCGTTCAAATCTTGAGTAGAAAGTTTCCAACTTTGTTCTAAGTCATGTTGTGGATTGAAGAACTCATACGTTGTCATCTGTGCACGAATCTCTTTTGATATTTATCGTGCAATTCACTAGACCCATGAAATCCATATCTGGGAGAAAAGAAATATGCAAATTTTTATTTTAAATAATGCTATCTAATATCAATTGTGCTACAACACAAGTCTAGGTGTCTTGATGTGATAAGCTCAAGGAGATGTGCAATTAAATAAGTCATTTAATTGTACCTCTCATTTAATGTCACATAAGTGCGACCTAAACTGATATTTTAACATACTCTTCTATTTTATTGACAATGTGTTTTTATTTTTCATTTCTATTATTTATTATTTCAAGTGGTTAATACCTTTAATTTATATATGATGCAACATGTATATACATTAAAATTTGTAGAATTACACATAACGTGCTTTTCAGATGGGCTCCTTTTTTGATGCAAGTATAGCCTTTTCGGTTTTCAAAATACAAAAGACAGTCAATTTGAAACTTCATTAGTCTTTTTAGATTAATTTTTATATTAAAGATCATCACATTATGCAAGAGAGGCTACTGTTCTTTCATCATTTACTACATTTTGCTTTAGTGTGCAGTTTACAAACGAACTCCTCCTAATAGCAACAAATAAAAATAAAACCAAGAAAGAAAAAACTAATCGCTGTGGCATGAATAGTAGCACATGACAGCAACTGAAAGTGTTAACGCATTATTTTGAAAAGTTGTGGGACTGAAGTGATATATGTATTAACCATACAGAACCTTCTTATAATGATTTATGTGAGGATATTGATTTTGATGACAACCTCTTTAACGTTGGTCGCAATCACGGAAGAGTTTTACCTTCATGGTCAACCACTGAAAATTAGGATCGTGGTTATGAGTTATATAGGTTCAAAGTGTGTCCTTGAGGGGATGATATGTTATTTGTGATCCTGTTATATGTTTCATTAGAGGATGAAAATGTCCTATTTTCAATGTGTAGCCAAACAAGTTTGTAGTTTAGGCAATGTGAATGAATTTTAACAATCAGCATAATTTTCTTCTTGTCATGCATATGTTTTGTAATTTGGTTTTTGTTTTGATTTTTAATATTTATGCATTCCTTTGGATTAATGTTGGAAATATAATCAATTATACGTAGATTTGATACTCAAGAACTGGATCTTTAATTGACTTCCAATTTTCAATCACTTTGTTTATTGTTCATAATGATTTGACTTATAATCTCATTTTGGCCCCATAAATTGATCATTCCCAATTTGATTAATTGTTCTAGGTTTTGGAGTTGGCTGGAAATGCAGCTCCGGACAACAAGAAGAACAGAATTATCCCGAGGCACGTGTTATTGGCTATCAGGTTCTAATAATCTATGTACTCAACTACTTTGATGTAAACCTTTTGTTTTGCATCAATTTTGATAATAATGTGCATTTGGTCTTTACTTTTGCCACCAATTTTGGTCGAAATTTACAAGGAACTTTTGATGACTTATGATCACACTGGCAGGAGTTTCCTTCATGAGCTGAGTCGCTTTTGCCGGAGCTTTTAATTTTGTTAGATAAATAAATTGAATGGTGGTCGATATAAAAAGCTCTTGCAATAAAAGGATTATTTCACCGAGTCAATTCATTCTATGACAAGTTGCAGATTTGGTTAATCCGTCTTTTGTTATGTATTTTGTGATTTTATGGGAAAAAAAATATCATTTTCCGAATGTATTTCCATTTAGGGGCATTTTTTTCTTGTCGTTTGTTTTTAGAATATAGTATAATATTATTGTGCAAAACATGAATTTTGAGTTTTCTGTTTGTAATTCTGGGTTGGAGATGAAAGAGAGAAGCACTTTATTTAATTATTTATTAATTACATAAACATTACATCATTAATTATTTAATTAACCAAAAAAATTACATCGTTATTAATAATAAATTAATTCTTAAATAAAAGTATAAAATATAAACTAAGCAAACGTGCATTGCACGTTGCTTGCACCTAGTATATATATATATATATATCCCTCTTCTATTAAAAGAGGCAATTCTCCGAACACTATTCATTTAGGACGTATTTCACTTTCCAATTTTATCCTTCCTTTTTTCATAAGAAACAAAACAGGGGAGGCGGCTTCCTTCCCTCTTAAA